TGGCACTCTTGAACCAGAGATGGTGATGCCTTCTGGAAGTAGCACTGGTTCTGCCATTAGCCAGCGCTGAGAGCTTTGGTAGGTCACTTAGAAATATGGAGCCTCAGATTCCATATCTGTCTCACCTACCTCTAGGATCGCTAGGAAGCTTAAATAAGATGAGGAATGCCAAAACACTATGAACTAAAGTACACTACAAAACAAAAGGTATCTTAATAACAATAATAAGGATAATGAGGACAATTAAACAAGCCTAGATAATATTTGTGATATTTCTAGAACATAGTGAGTTAATGCCAAAGCACTATTAGAATTCATGTGTCCTCATTCCCAGGTATATTGACAGTTTCTCAGATCAATCCTAGGTTCTGTTTCTAAGCCTTTGAACAAAGAAATCATATATATGAAATAACCAAACTTAGTGGTGGTGATGGTAATGAAGTCACTGTTAATGTTTACTGGCTGTGTATTTTGCACCTGGAATGCTGATATATATACTACATGCTCTTTTAGTTTCATGTCAACCCCCTTCTTATCCCCCCTGAAGTTTTTGCCTTAGGGCATGGGTGCTTGCAGTTCAAGGGAACTCAATAGGTAATGGGCATCAGGACAGCCTTGGGATGGGATTGATGTTCCTAAGGAGTGAGCTGCAGCCCAAGGCTTGCACACACACAGAGGTGAATCATCTCTACTGCATGACCTGGGGATTGACCATCCAAAGTGTGGTCCCTGGACACAGATTAGCCGTGGCATCTTGGAGCTTTTTAGAAATGCAGTATCTTGGGCCACAACCTAGACCTAATGAATGAGAATCTGCAGTTTAACAGGATGCCAAGGTCATTTGTAGGCATATTAAAGTTTGAGAAGCTCAGACTAGGAGGTGATAGCTACTTACAGACTGGTAACATATGTCTGGGCTATGGCTTGCCAATCTCTGGTCAAGACAGGAGAAAACACTGAAAATCACTTGCAGCTTGATTGAGTTGAGAACCGCTTGGAGCACCATGCTGAGAAGTATTTATGGACTCACGGTCACGGTCAACTAGTGACACCTGCCGTAGGTGTAGGGCAGGAGATTGGCTCCTGAGAGCTTAGCAGTCATCCTCACTGAACTAGACAGCTAAGCTTGTCTAGCACTGACATTCTCTAACCTTAATGCTGGCACTCTTGAACCAGAGATGGTGATGCCTTCTGGAAGTAGCACTGGTTCTGCCATTAGCCAGCGCTGAGAGCTTTGGTAGGTCACTTAGAAATATGGAGCCTCAGATTCCATATCTGTCTCACCTACCTCTAGGATCGCTAGGAAGCTTAAATAAGATGAGGAATGCCAAAACACTATGAACTAAAGTACACTACAAAACAAAAGGTATCTTAATAACAATAATAAGGATAATGAGGACAATTAAACAAGCCTAGATAATATTTGTGATATTTCTAGAACATAGTGAGTTAATGCCAAAGCACTATTAGAATTCATGTGTCCTCATTCCCAGGTATATTGACAGTTTCTCAGATCAATCCTAGGTTCTGTTTCTAAGCCTTTGAACAAAGAAATCATATATATGAAATAACCAAACTTAGTGGTGGTGATGGTAATGAAGTCACTGTTAATGTTTACTGGCTGTGTATTTTGCACCTGGAATGCTGATATATATACTACATGCTCTTTTAGTTTCATGTCAACCCCCTTCTTATCCCCCCTGAAGTTTTTGCCTTAGGGCATGGGTGCTTGCAAGAGAGAGAGAGAGAGATCGATCACCCCCTGGGAGAGTATGACCATGCCACAGTCCCTTCTTCTCCAATCTCCTCTCAGGATCTTGGGCATGCATGCACACACACTCACCCAGTGTGAATGTCAAGCCACCAGGTCCAGGACTTGACCTGTGGTCACCCATGTGGGAGTCCAGTGACTTAAATTCTATGCCATCTGCTGGCCTCACACATCAATTCTTTGAAGTGGGTATTTTGTATACTCCCATTCTACACAAAGAAAGTGAGGCTCAGAGAATTACTTTTTAATAGAGGGTGGTACTCTAGGTCAAAGGGATACCTTTGTAATGGTGGATATTCAGGCTCTGTGATAAGCCAGTTGGGGTGGAAGAAGGATATTCTTTTGGGTAGAGAGCAGATTGGGATATTCTAGAGCTCCTAAAATTGCATCACAAAAGCGGTGGCTAGCCCTGCCAAGAAGGCGTGGTGTGAGCTGAGTTTGTCACCTTGTAGCAATGCTTGTTGCCCAGGCTCCTCTCAGACCAAAGATGCTGTAGCTGGCAGCCTTGGAGCTGGGAAGTGCCAAGCCACGTTGCAAGGCAAGACTTTAACACGAGATGACCGGCAGAGGTGGGGCCACAGAGCAGGTGTGACCAGGATGCTATGCTCCATGTTCATAGCATGGAGCCCATCTGAAAATTAAATCTCTTGTACTTCTCACTTGGGGAGAGACAAATCAGCAGATCCCAGAGGTGAGAGAACATGAGCCATTCTTCCATCTTCAAAGCAGGAGGTCCCGGAGCCAGCAGATGGCGAAGTGGTTATGGTGCTGGACTCCTACATGGCCAACTGCAGCTCAAATCCTGGACCAGGTAGCTTGAAAATCATGCTGGACACATGTGCCTAAAATCTTAGGAGGAGAAATAAAGAGAAGGTATTACAATGTGGCCATGCCCCCTGGAATGATTTCTCACTTTCTGTCTTACTGTCTTTCTCCGGTGAGTGCACACACTCTATGGCAAAAACCTTAGAAAAGAACAAAAACCTGGAGACCCAATGGTCCTGGGAGCAGTGCATTATTCTGAATTTAAATCTCACAAGTAGGGCCTATCAGTGGATTTTTCTTCCACTACTAAGCAGAGTAGTGTGGTGGATAAATGTTTGAGCCCTGAATAGATCAACACAGTTCAAAGTCCCCTCTTACCATTTGCAAGCTGTGTGATGGTAGGTGTGTTTATTCATCACTGAACCTCAGTTTTCTCATCTGAAATGTAGAGATAAGAACAGAACCTGCCTTGTGATATGTCAGGAAGATTCAGTAACATAATGGATTTAAATTCATCACAAAGCCTGATACAATAAATATTGAAAGCATGATGGATTAAAAAAATTGCTATTTTGCTACTATTGCTATTATCATCACAAATGTTAGGTTATCATCCCAAATGTTAGGTTATGAGTGGATATGTTGGGATCTCAGAAAAGTCATGACATATTTTTCCTATGTTTTTCTATGCAAAAATATGTTGTAACTTTTCCCAACAACCCAATAGTAAAGGCAGCTCTTTGACTTGAGTTCTGCATCAATTAAGAGATAAGATAAAGAAGTAAATCAGAGGGTACAATGTCACCTTTGTCATTGGAAGGCTAACACTGAAGGTTGCAGCTTGAGTGACCAGAAAACCAAAGCCTGCTACCTCCTCCCAGCCAGCACAAGCCCCCGTCTTAGAGAAACTTACTTTGCATAGTACCCTGCTAAGGGTGGGCATATGCTCTCTGTAGGTCAACTGGTGCTCAAAAGGGAAGAGAGAGCGTTGCTGTGTACACTTCCTCCTCCAGCCTTTATTCAGAAAAGCCACTCCACTGGGCTGCGTGGGGTGTTGGGATGGGAAAAAGGGTCCAGGGTGGCCTGGGATTTTACAATAATGAAGACTGCTACACATGCAAGGAAATCCTAGTGGTGGGTTAGAAGGGCTTCCTCCAACCTTCACATGTTCCATGTTGCATGTTACCGTGTAATCAAAATAGTGGTGTACCTAACATGTGTGATAGTCAGAGATTATTTCATACTCCTTCCTCCCCTATTAGACCACTGAACTTTTTCAGTGATAATCTTTAATTATCAGGCATAATCATATTCTCTTAATTTATTCTGTAGTTTTATAATAGTCAACAAAACAAGAACCCATTTCATTCTTAAAGGCAGTATTTAGACTCAGTAATTTTTTTTATATCTATGCTAAACTTTTCACTTACAGAATGAAAATATTATACTTTGCATTTTGCACTGTTCAAATGATTTCAATTTTGAGTCCAAATAGAAACTTCAAGTCATTGTACAGAATGGCAGAGTTGAATTATCTTAAATTCTGTCTCTCCCTTACCATTCCTGTGCATTTCAGATTTACTGTGCACGTGTAGGAACATGGAGTACAACAGGGCTGGAGACAGGAACTGTGTTTGAACCAAGCCCAGGTGGCTTCAAATGCTCACAAACTTTCTCTCCAGTTAATGTGTGTGTGGATCTGAGCCTATATTTCAAACTTATTTTATATCATTAAAATTCAACAATAACTTCAGCAATTGTTTAGAACTTAGACTGTTCTAGGAAAGCCCCAAATCTAAGAGGACTAGCCTGTAATGTTTGCTGATTCCAAAGAATGCACCCAGAGGTCCAGCAGGAGAAGATATGAGTTTATTACTTACCTAGCAGGGCAGCATGCTCCACTGATGGGTGGAGAATGATCTGTGTTGTCATCAAACACAGGCTCAGGTTATATACGGTAAGAATAAAGCATTCATAAATCAATTAAAGATCAGTGCAGATTCCCTGTCACCAAGACAGGAGGCTGCTTTGCACATAACATTGTTTGAAGGTTACAATAAAAGGTTAGCTTATCAGTGAACAGAAGCAGCAGAATGTGCTTTGGGTTTAATGTTCCAATCTTGTGTTGTTAATGTGGGAGGGGTGCACATACCTCCAGAACAGGCCCGGTCACGAGCCAGTTACATGAAGTAAGGGAATGGTCATGAGACGTTTGCAAGGCCCAGCTGGGCCACCAGCTGGGTCTCAGGGAGATATGGAGTAGAGGGAGCGGAGCGGAGTGGAGATCTCAGGGTATGGTGCCTACTCTCATAGACCAACCAAAAAATTTTTGAAGAAGAGGGAGGTATATTTTATTGTTGGCATTATTTACAATTTCAGGCACATGGTGATCGTAAAAAGCAGAGTTTTTGAACACCCTAACAATTATTATTTTAAATCTTTTTATTTATTTATTTTTTGAGAGATAGTTGTCACAGGGCATGTGTGCTTGCTGGAGAGACAGAGAGACAGAGACAGAAAGTAATAAATCACCCCCCATGGGGGACGGCCACACTGCAATCCCTTCTCCATTGTACCACTGGGATCTTGGGCATGCATGCACATGTACCTGGTGTGAGTTTCAAACTATTGGGTATGGGACTTGAACCATGAATGGCCATGTGGGAGTCCAGTGATATAACCACCATGCCATCTGCTGGCCTCCACCCCAACAATTATTATAAATATCTTAAAATTCTCTAGAACCAGTGTGCCCATATCAGGGACTGATTGCTCCCTCAGCCTGGTTCCTGTTACTGCACTGAGTAAAAGCCACACAGGCTGGGAGTCAAGAATTCTCGGTCCTAGTCTTGTGTCTGCAATTCTCAGTTTTTATCTGGGCAATTCTCATTTCTTCTCTGGGCCTCAGTTTTCCTCACTATAAATTAAAGGGGCTGGCTTGGGTCACCTCTAACATTTCTTTTGAGCTCTAAACTCTGGTTTGAGAAGTCATCTTTCACCGGGAGAGGACGACCGGAGAACACGTTTGGAATCTGAATCTGTCTCTGTTCAGGCAACGGTGCTGATTTACGGGGACGAGTCAGTGAAGGGAGATCATCTGCCTTTGATTTATGTCAGAGGCATGATGTGCTCGGGCTGCCGCAGTTCTCGAGGAACTGGTAATAAAGTAGAGGAAGTTTCAGGCTGGCTGCACGGGGGAGGAAGATGAGGACGCTGTGACCCGGTGGGGATGCTGGTGATTGTGCTACCAATATTGGTTGAGCACCTACTGCATGCTAGTCACGGCCTCGTCATCACGTCCTCGTGATGAAGATACTACTGTTTATTTCTAGTTTACAGAGGAAAAGATTGAAGCTGTCCTCAAGGTCACATAGTTGTAAATGGCAGTTATGGGATTTGAATCCGAATTTTCTGACTCCAGACTCTCTATTTAACCACTGTAGCACCAGATTAGGGATACAAGTTGCTGTTTTCCCTCAGACTTTGTGCATCTGCTCTGGGCTGGCCATATCCAGGGAAACCTGTTGTAGGGTCTCGACATTACAGCAAATACCTACAATTCTTTGTTCAAGGCAGGGTTTGGCTTTGTTTCAGATCTTTCCTAGGTTTGACACATTGTAAAACCACACGTTGTCAATGTCAGAGGGGGCTTTAGCTCTCTGAAAAATATTATTCCCCTTTGAGGCTGGAGATATTAAAGCTCAAAGAGGACAAGTGATTTGTTTAAGGTCACCCAGATTTAAGGGCATGGAGGGAACCAGAATTTTATCAACTTGACCAACTTTGGTAGATCAAAGATATGGCCTGACTTCTTTCCCATAATTTCCACTCTGGGTCTCAGGATTCCCAGCTCACATCTTTCTTTCTTTCTTTTTTATTTATTTATTTTTGAGAGGTTTTTGCTATAGGGCACATGTGCTCGCCAGACAGACAGAGAGAGGCAGAAAGAGACCGAAAACGAGAAATCACCCTCCAGGGGGGATGGCCACACTGCAATCCCTTCTCCTCCGCACTCCTCTCGGGATCTTGGGCACGCATGCACACGCGCCCAACATGAGTTTTAAGCCACTGGGTCCGGGACGCGAACTGCGGTCGACTACGTGGGAGTCCAGCGACTTAGCCATTACGCTAACTGCTGGTCCCAGCCTACATCTTTCTAGAAAGTATCCAGGCCCATGTCCGGACATGGCACTCAGCTACCTTCACTATTAAGTGTTGGGTTAAACAGAGATATGGAATCCAGTCCTACCCTAGGAAACTTTGTCCATGGGTAGATGAAAGGGCAGGCCTGGACTTTAAAGTTCTATTTCCTAATACTAAAATGAGTTTCATAATGATTTCGAACTTTATTTTACAAACGTTACTTCTCTGTAGAGAACCCAAAGGCTTACATTACATTATTATTCCATTCATTCAGCAAAATTTGAGCACTTACACTAGCTTTTTCTATGTACTTTAGTCATTGACAGATATGTCTTTTTTTTTTTTTTTTTTAGAGAGATTTTTTTTTTATCGGTCATGTGCCCTTGCCTGGAGAGACAGACAGACACACACACACACACACACACACACACACACACTCACACAAAGAGAGAGAGAGAGACTGAAAGCAAGAAATTTCCCCTCAGGGTGGCCATGCCACAATCCCTTCTCCTCCATTCTCCTCTTGGATTCTGGGCAGGGGTGCAATCTTTCCATGCTCGACGGACATAACAATTCATCAACACAGACCCAAACACAAACTCCTTCACACAGACACACACACACACACACACACACACACACACACTCACACAAAGAGAGAGAGAGAGACTGAAAGCAAGAAATTACCCCTCAGGGTGGCCATGCCACAATCCCTTCTCCTCCATTCTCCTCTTGGATTCTGGGCATGCATGAACATGCACCCAGTGTGAGATTCAAGCTGCTGGGGCCCGGATTCAAACTACTGTTGGCCATGTTGGTGTTCAGTGCCCTAATCACTATACCATCTGCTGGGCCTGACAGATTTGTCTTTACCTTCATTGAGCTGATATTCTGTTGAAGGAAAAATGTTAAACAATAAGCTGTAAACTAATTATTTAATTATACTTTTTCTTATTCAATTTATTTTTGTATGTAAGGGTATAAAGTTTTTTTTCATAAATGTTATGGGTAGTCTAAAAGAACTATAAGCTCTTTTCTAATCTTAGCTGTTCTCTGGAATCTTATATTTCATTTTTATTATATCTCACTTTGTTTAAAAAATGTGGCATATTTTACAGTACATTGTCAAAAATGTCACATTGTTCTTTATACAAAACAAATGAAATTTACCTTGTAACCAAGCCTCTTTTTCTGAAATAGCTACAGATCTGTGCAGAAAACAATGGAAGGTAATATATCTTCTACCGTGATTGCCTCAACATTCAATATATATACACATATATATTTTTTATTACAAACTAAAGGTCAGAAAGCCTATTTTGTTTATATTTCAGTTTAAGTTTGGTGAAGATTGCAACTGGTGGCCAGGGACTTCCTGGATATGCATGTCATAAGTTGTAATATCTGGTACATGTTGTGGAATTTTTTGTTTTCTAATTCAGTCTCACAGTACACTGTGGTAGTCCCATTCTACAGAGCAAAACAAGAGAATATTCCTTATGTAACACCACCATGCATAGAATTATTGCCTGCTTGTTTGGGTGTCTTCTCGCAGGTGATATTAGTTCTTCTGAAGCCTAGACAGATCGGAATTAGAACACCTCATCTCCACTTACATCTATCCTTTCATCCACCTGCTCAGCAAATATGGGCGCGGAAGGATTTTCAAAAAGTTTGTGGAAAATGTGTATGGTACGAAAACCATGAACATTTTTTATGTGTTTTTTTTTCCCACTGAAAATAAATTTACACTTCAATTACAGTTTTTCATAAACTTTCTGAAGTACCTCAAATGTATTATATATCTTCCAAAGTTCTGGCACTTAGTTAAGTGCTGAGGCTACTCTGGGCAGCAGAGCAGGGCAACCCTCAGCTTTCATGGAACTTTTTTCCTAGCAGGATTCACTACTATAAGTAAGAACACAAATAAATAAAAGAATAAAATTTCAAATTGTGATAAAGACAATGAAAAAAATGTCAGTTATAGTAGTGAGACTTACTTGGTGATGACATAAGTTGAATCCTCCCTACCCCCACACCCAAAAAGAAGAAACCAACCTGCCAGGTGTGGATTGGAGTCAAAGACTTATGACATAGGCAAAAGTTCTGAGGCAAGAACTACCTAGGTGTGCTTGTAACTGGAGGAAAAGCAGGGTACTTGGAGTGCAGAGAGCAGAGATGGTGGTGGAGAGTGATGGGATGGGAATCTGGAGAGGAGGAGAGTCAGACCATCTGGGACCTTTAGGGCAAGCTAGGGAGTTTGGACTTTATTCTAAGTATAGCTGGGAAGATAATGAAGGATTTAAAAAGGGAGTGAATGGTTAGATTTTACGGAGAATTATTTAAGAACAGAATCACTTAAGGGAACAGAGTTGAAAGAAATATGTAAGTTTGGAAGCTGTCAACATGGTTCAGTCAAGGCATGATGATGATCTGGTCTAAAATAGTGGGATAGAAATGGAGAGGCTGAGGATTCCAAGATAAATTTGAGGATGGGACAAGGATAAGAAAATTCGGGTTGTCTCTTTGGATGTGTGGCTTTGGGAATTTATTAGTTGTGTAGTCTTGGGAAAGATTCTTATTTTCTCTGAACCTGAGTGTTGGTTAAAGCATGAAATGAGACCCCGGGCAGAGACTGAAGGCCTGGGTGAGATTAACCCAGGGGCGGTGAAGGTAAGATGAGGAATGGTGTGGAGTGAATTAAGAATCGTCCTCCATTAAGAATCGTAAAATATCTGGGAACCAGCAGTTAGCGTAATGGCTATGTCACTGGATTCCCACGTAGTCGACCGTGGTTCGCATCCCGGACCTGGTAGCTTAAAACTCACGCTGGGCGCATGTGCGTGCGTGCCCAAGATCCCAAGAGGAGAATGGAGGAGAAGGGATTGTGGCGTGACCATCCCCCTTGGGGGTTGATTTCTTGCTTTCTGTCTCTCTGTCTCTCTCTGTCTGTCTGGCGAGTGCGCAAGTCCACGTCCCCTAGTAAAAACCCCTCCAAAAAAAAAAAAAAAAAGAATCATAAAATGTCACTTCCTGAAGAAAACTGAAGTACCAATAATATCAATTACTCAAGAGAAACGACTGTGACATATATTGCTTCTATTTGCACCCATGATACCTAGTTGATTGAAATTGAATAAAGACTTGTTTTATTTTTTTTTTGACTAAAACATTTATTATCTAAGGCTTTTTGAATTACAAGTAGAGTACATGAAGCTTGAATTGGCCAAAACAAAGAAAATTTACTGGCCTACATAATGAAAAAAAACAAGACAATAGAGGTGGACTTCAGGCATGGTGAAATCCAGGTGCTCACGTCAGTCTCCTGATTCCTCTGAGCACAGAACCTGTCTGTATGTTGAACTCCTTCTCAGGCAAATTTTCCTGAAGGGGTCACTAAGATGGCAACCCCCCTACTTTGAGACTTGTGTGCTAGGAACTCCAACAGGAAGTAAGCACCTGTTTCCCAGTAGTTACATTAAGTCTGGGGGTAGGTTCTTCTTGGCCCAGCTTGGATTGCATGCTCATCTCTGAAATTATCTCCATGGTCTGAGGGTGCAGTATATGGATGGCTAGTGCGCAGAATCACCCCTCACTGAACCATATGGATCCAAAGTGGATGTTTCCCAAAGGGAAACTCAGCTGTTGTTGCTGGGAGGTATGATTCAGTCTGAGAAGATAAAACAACAGACCCCAGAAGATCCCCACAAATTTCAGTTCAGAGTCTCACCTGCCAAGCATTTAAACCCTTGTACGTCTATTTGCTCACTGATTCTTAGGAAGTAGTCAGAGTTGGGAAGTAGTCTGTTAGCTCTTAGAAGGCAGCGGCAGTGCTTTTCATGTTACTGTGGTTTCAAGCCTAGATAATGTTGAACTCAAGCTAGGTGCCAGAACTTTTTGAATTTCTTTTTCTGTGTGAGGCAGGATAGGTGTGGTGAGGGGTTGGTGGGGAGCAAAGGCAGTGGTGACTGACACTGAGGCAATTTTAGTCTGTTCTTTTGCAAAGCAGGTATTTCTTAAATCTTCCCAATGCTGTCAGGTTCCTTAGAAAGTATTTTATCACAGTTTCATAGACTGTCAGAGCTGGAAGGCAACTTAGAAATCTTTCAGTCCAAACTTCTCTTTGTTCAAATAAGGAGGCCTAGAGTAGTGAATCTAGAGAAAGATCCTTGAGTCCAGGCCTTGAAGTTTCATTCAGGTGAATAGTGTGTTAAGTTTCTTATAACTTTCTTTGGTGAATTTGCTTTACATATGAGCTATCTTTTTTCTATTTTCCTAAAAAGAGAGTCTGTTTAGTTTCTTGTGGGAAATAATTTTGGCTTTATTTCCTTTCCTTTTTTAAATATTACTTTTAATTTGACTAGACACACACACACACACACACACACACACACAGAGAGAGAGAGAGAGAGAGAGAGAGAGAGAAAGCAAGCCACCAGGTCCAGGACTCAAACCGTGGTCGGCCATGTTGGAGTGTCCAGTGCCTTAATTGCTATGCCACCTGCTGGTCCCTTGGTTTTGTTTTCTAATTCCCAAGTTTTAAAATCCCTTTTGAGAATAAAAGTTCTTGAAGATGATAGGTGTGTGATGTAAATCACCTACAAGACACTTAGTGTTCAAAGAACATAAGTCCATGGATAACACTGTTAGTTCAATGATTAAACTCAGTCCTGCTTGATTCCCTGGGCCCTGTAATTCATTTTTTCCTTTTTTTTTGGAGAGGTTTTCGCTATAGAGCACGTGTGCTCGCCAGACAGACAGAGAGAGACATAGAGACAGAAAGTGAGAAATCACTCCC